TACAGGAGGGGTCCTAGAATGCCAACCCGACCTGTAGCTTCAGGAGGGGGACTTACTCCTCGAGCACGTCGGTTTGCTTCTTCTCCTCGGGGACTTGGTCTTTTTTCTTTTCTACTTACTGTTGCTCGTTCCTTCTTCTTCTCTCTTCCTCTTTTCACCTTGTTGGTTTACTATCTTTTGGTTGATCTCTTCTTCATTGCTTATGAACTGATCGCCCAGCCTAAGGAACTCGGTGATGTTCTTTGGCTTGTTTGCTACGACATGCCACTTGAATTCCTTGTGAGTAATTCCCTCCCGAGCTGCGGTAAGGCGTACTGCTGGATCAAGGTCTGATATCTGCAAACAGGTCTCGTTGAAGCATTTGATATAGCTTTGAATTGATTCTCCTTCCCTCTGTACCACATTCAGAAGGCTCTCCTGTGACTTCAGACACTTCTCACTAGTGATGAAGTGGGCCATGAACATGTCTGCGAACTGCGTCCAACATTTGATAGAGCCCAACGCAAGGTTCCTGTACCACATGTATGGGCCATGAACATGTCTCCACTCTCTTCATGTACGGGTATCAATGGAATTCACTTTTGCTATGATGATGTTCTAATGGAGGGCTAGAACTAAGAATCATGGCCTTAGATGTATTGTTGTGATCCCGCTAAGATATCAGTTCTAGCAATTCATCAAATACTTTGATTTTGATGGTGTACGATTTGGATGCTCCAAGCTGTAGGGCAGCTCGGACATCTGTCGCCAAGTAGATCACTCGAACTGCGAAGAAAAGGAGGAATCAAAGAACCTGGGGTGACTAACCTAGCAGGGTTGCTCTGATGCTTAAGTTAGTAATAGTAATATGCGAGTTGAGAGTTTGAGAAATAGGAGAGCTAGAATGCACTTAATCGCGCGTACTTGGGTCCTGGGGGGTTAATGTCCTTATATAGTTGAGTTGTCGTGGGTCTCACAAAACGGCTCCAAGATCTTTGGCCCGTGTACATGGGATTCATTCCACTTTAGAAGGAGAGTAACGTACTAGTCAATGAAGTCTATCATTACCGTCCAATCCCGGCAGGGAGAGGATAAGGCCTGCCGTTACGCGGCGTGATTCCGAGAGATTCGGAGTCTGTTGAGAAGCTTCTGGAGTCGATTGTGTGTCACTTCGGTACTCGAGTACAGTAGCGGATTTGGTGCCGAGGTGCCCGAACACCCGGGCTCCCGAATTGCTGACAAGGCTCTCCTTGCTGAGTTGTCATTCTACTGGTAGGTCGTGTCCACATGTCCTTTACTTACTAGGTCGGGCCAAATCACCCCTCATCAGATTTCGTTATTTTAGTGCCACACTATAACATGGTATGGGTCTAATTGGATACGAGTTGTAGAGTCTCAACCCATCATGAGTTCAGATTGTCCCACTTGCCCTGCTTCGTGACCCGATATTGATTATTGTCCCACTTTAGTTTTCTTTTTTTTTTTTAATTTATTTATAAAACGAGTTTGGCTTCTATCAGGGCAAGTCGGTGCTCACACCCTTCGAGCAGCCCCTTGCAACCTTGCATTGGGAATATCTCCCATGAAATAAATCACATAACTATGGAGATATTCCCAACGCAAGGCTATAAAGCCTGTTGGAATGGGCTTTGCCCTGATTGATTGAAGCCGAATACTTATTAAACCAGGTAGTGGTACCCAAGATGGGGGTAGCACGTCCCCACAAATCACTCAAACAAATAAACCCTAAGACACACAGGATATTACACATATTAAGGGGAACAAAACCACTGATAAAAGAGTGAGCTTCATTTGCAAGCCAATCAATCACTTGGTTAGCTTTTGAATAAACATGCCTGTAATGAATTCCTTGCTTGAGTTGCTCCTTCATTTGCAAGCAATCCTGCACTATATTCCTCAGACTCCATGAAGGGGTAACCTGGCTGTTGAGACATGAGATGGCAAGTTTCAAGTCCCATTCTATTATAATCGAAAAATCTCTAAAATTTGAAGCCAAATTATGAACCTTCCATCCAGCCCACACTTAAGAAGCATTATAGTGGTGGCACCTAGGGATGGCAATTTTCCCCATCCCCAATGGGAACCCAACTTCCCCAACCCGATGGGGTCGGGGATGGGGATTGAAATCTTCACCCCGCCTTGACCCTGAATATATTTATTTATATATATATATATATATATATATTTATTTATTTATTTATTTAAATATTATTTATATTAAGTGTATATTATATATATATCAAAATATATTTAAAATAATATTTATAATTCAAAATTTTATTTTTCAAAAAAATATTATTATCTAAAAAAATTTTATTTAAGGGTTATTTTCAAAATCAGAGATAAGAAAGAGGAATATAATCCCTTCCCCAAACCCACACTATTGTCATTCCTAGTAGCACAAGAGAATATCGTTTATCGTCCCACCCTGCATTTCTATTGATGGGTCGGGGCAGATTCAGGGCCGGATATGTTAAAAGTCAGGTGAGCGCCCAACCATGCTAAGCCCGATCCATTGACATCATGCACGCCTCTTATCATCATATCTCTACTCTTCATGTAGCAAGTTAATGCTTTATTATTGGAGCTGCAAACAATATCCGTTTGTCCAAACTTAAATCTGAATCCGATCCAGTTTAAAGGTGATTCTATTTAATTCATTTATAATTGGATTTAAGACAAATCTGTGATGCGAGAACTTGACGAATCAAACCAATCAAAATCCCTTGTGAATTTTGATGAATATCAACTGATTGATTATCACTTTTATAATTTTAGTTGATATATTATAAGGTTTTTTTAGATATTATTCCAAGTATGAAGTATCATCCCCGGATTCTTGAAATTAATATGGATCCACCTCTAACCAATGCGATATAATCTAATTTATTCAATGATATGTTTATATTTGCATTAAATTTATATTATAAAATTTGTTTAAATGTTGTATGGCCTAAAATGCATTCAAGAGATATTGCAATCCAATTCGATTTAAAAGATATCCGAATCCAACAATTGGATCAAATTCAAAGTTGAACAGGATCGGATCTGACTCTTTTTACTTTTTCTGCTTCAGTGCTCCGACTCATTTGTAGCCCTATTTATAACCCCAAATGTTTGAAAAAATAATTTTATTGGGAGGAAGAGTCAATATACATGTATTGACCTTGACTTAGAGAAAGGGACAAAATAATTGAAAATGGATAGCTACTTTTCTTACTATGTTCACCATTCTCGTCTGCCCCCAAACACGACCTAACAATTTGTGACTAGACCAGCTAAGATTGCAAATTTCCACCCGTGTCAAAATTCGCCCCTTTCATAGTCCCTCAAGGCTCAAGTTAGCTGTTAACTGTTTGAACCGTTTCATTTCTATTAATAGCAATTGAGTTTATTAAGGCTTAAAAGCAGCTGGAAATACCAAGGTATTTCACTGTTTTTGTTTGATAACAACTAAAATGATTAAATTGAAAATCTTATTATTTTGTTTTTAGCGAATAATTTAGATTTCTATTAATAGCAATTTAGATTAAATTGAAATGATTAAAGTATTGCTTTGGACCATTTTGGACTAATCCATTTCAATGTCTAGGCCATCCAACCTTTCAAATTGGTTGTAATTTAGATTGGCTTCAACTCAAACCCAGTCTATTGACACCTGTTCTCTTATCTTATATCAATGGATCAAATATTGGTTCAAACCATCCCATTCTAATATAAATCCATTATAGATAAACCAGGTCCAATCCAATCCAATAAATACTTTGGACCATTAATTTTGAACTATAATCCATTTCAATATGCCTTATTAATTCATCTAATCCTTTCAAAATGATTTTGATTTGAACAAGATCCAATCCAAAGCCGGTCCACTGTTCCCTGCCTTATTCCATAGTGAATGAGATTATATTTCAAACTTGCTTTCCATTGATGAGCAAGGTATAATTTAGAGTTGATGCATTCCATAATTAAGCTAATACATCTCTCGTGGAATCCATGAGCTTAAGGATGTAATATTCGATGAAATTCAGTCAATTCTATCTTATGTTTTTTTTCATATCCCACTTAATAATCATCTAACTATTCTTTCTCTTGATTTGTCTTTTTTTCTTTTTTCTTGTGTTATTATTTCTTGTCTAAAATTGTATATTATTTCTTGTGTTATTAGAGTATTAACAGTTTTTTTATGGCTCAAAATGAAAATGTCCCACCAAAATCAAGTTTATGACTTTATCTAGCAATTGTCACATTCCAAGCTTTTGAACTATCCAAAAGCTTGGACTGGTTGACCTGTGAACCATCCAAGCAATAGGTTCCGTTTTATCCGAAAATCTTTCTTGAGCCAAAAAATCATTGACTTGGTCAACGATTTGTTGATCCAGTGATCAAACCGTCAATCCATCAACCTGAACAATAATTTTTGTATGTACTTTTATTTTAATTATTTTAATTTTTAAATCAGAATGAGTCATCGATTTGAATCAGATGGTCGAACCACCAGTTTCAAATTAATTTTTAAAACATTAATTTATTTCATTCTGTTAACTTTAAATGCCTGGTTGGTCAATTCTGTTATCATTGTCAACGAAATAGGATCTATTCCTCACACATGGGCGCCTCACAGACACATCCACGGTTGGAAGCATCTCCCATGAATTATAAGTACGGAAGATGTTCCCATGCATGATAGGATGTACGGTGAAGTCGGTGTGAGGCGTCAGGTGGGGATCCGGTCTCATTGTCAATAAGCCAAGCCGAAAGGAGGGAAACGCTAAACTGACCCAGTTCACTCGCCGTGGATTAAAGCCACGTAATGAAGGTTATCCGATGCATACAAGACGTGGCATTGTTATCTACCGTTAAAAGGACCATTTCCTCCAATTTTTTAAGGGAATAAGGAATCTCATTTCTATCATTTTTGGTTTTGGAGGCACGTTTGTCAGCCATTACTAAAATTGGGAGACTACACCCGAGATTAGTGGCGTCTGTTGCTTTGCCAGTAACACTAATGCCTAACTGATAAACCACTTCAAGATTCCATGGGATGAAACACATCGTACGAAAATGTGCCCACCAATTTTTCTCGGCCAATATTGATAAAGAGCGTCTTGTCCATCCATTTCATAACCGAGAACATAGATCAATCTGTATGTAACTTATAAGCATAGATCAGGTAATACAAATGAAGTCGAAGCTCAAATCAAATGGTAGAGACTGATGGGGGCATTTTCAAAAATTGTAATCGGGTCTGATGGACAACCGGTTGGATCTTGAATGTAACAACCGTTTCAAAGCAAACACCATGTCAGATGTCACCATCTCTCTTAACTTACGCCTCCCCTCATCGCTTCTTGCTAATTTATGCCTTCTCACCCTTGCGTATAAAGCCCTCTGTCATTCCTCTCTCTCGCTCGCTCTCTCTGCCAATTACCAGTGTCAGGTATGCACTACTCATGATCTGTAACAGCTTTCTGTTATCAGTTTCTTGCTATTTGAACTTCAGAACACACACACTCTTTCTCTCTGCGTATAAATCTTTGTGGTTTTTCTGTGTATTTCTGTTCTGAAATTTTACTTAATTCTGTTTATGGAAAGGGAAGTATATAGATGAAAATGTAGAGCAACTAAGCTGAAGACTTGATATTTTAGCTGAATAATGCGGATGACCATTTCAATGAAGCTTGTTGATCATGTTGCCTTATCTGGATTGTTATTTGGTTGGTTGCTCTATACATGTTTTTCTGAACCCGAGTGTTAGCTTAAGGGAGGAATTTGGGGTAAGTTTGGTTGAGTGCTGCAGTGTAGGTTGAAGAATCGATATTCAACTGGCATTTGCAGAAGAGCAAACATATATATTGCAATGCTAATTATCATCATCATCATCATCTAAGTCTTGTCCCAACTATATGGGATCGGCTAAATGATTCCTTTTTGATCATTCCGTTCTGTTGAGTGCCATATCCATTGTTAAGTTATGAGTGCTTAAATCATTTCTTACTACTTGAACCAATGTCCTCTTCTGTCTGGTTAAATGCTTAGGTTTAGATGATTATCAAATAAGAAAATTAGAATTTATTTTGCTTTCTGAATACATTCGGTCGATACTAAAAGTAAATGTGTTGTTGTTTATCAGGTTTATCAAAATGATGGTAAAGATTATGGGGGTACGAACAAGAATGATTCAGCTCCTACTTGTATCATTTATTCTCTTGAGCTGTTTGGAAAAAGGGAGTGCAGGGGTCACTAGTTCTTTTGTTCGTTCTGAATGGCCATCCATTGACATCCCTCTTGACAATAAAGTATTTGCAGTTCCGAAGGGTTATAATGCGCCACAACAAGTAAGCCATCATATTATTTGTGAATATTTGACTATTTATAATAGACAATCCTGTTTGCATTTGAACTGAATAATAAAGATACATAAAATTCTCTGCCTACCTCATTCTCCGAAGATGCTTTCTTCATATTTACACAATGAAGTTACACTGTTGGGTCCTCATTTTCTTGAAGTTTGTGTTATTGTTAAGCTTGTTGCCATGTGAAATGGAACCTTTATGTTGATATAACCTTGGTGAATGCTGTTAAATTCTGTTGTTGTATTCAAGTTATTTTTTTTTTTTACATTGAAACAACATTGAAAAGTAGGCTGGACTTGTCATAAAATTCAAGAGAGAAAAAGAAAAGTTTCAATTGTGGAAACCATAGTTATTCATGACACTTAGCACTAATATCACCTGATATTCCACCTGTGATTAAGGCTCCATTTGTTTATAGTGCAAATTTTATTTGCAATGGTGTAAATGCAGGGGAATGCAAATGGGTTGGGTGTAAATTTTGGTTTACTTTTGTTTCAGATTTTACATTGGCTTGTTTGTTTGTAATAGGTAAAATGATGTGATCCTACCTTACATGAAGAGAATGGAAGCAATAGGAGGAAGGTGGTGAAAATTTTGCATAAATTTTTTAGATGCAAAATATGCATTGCTAATTAGTGCAAACAAGGCAAAATGTGCAAATTTTTACTAACTAGAAGTGCAAATCATAGTCATAAATTTATGCAAAACTGAAATGGGTGCAAAATTTTTATCTGGTTCAGATTTTCACTACAAACAAATACAGCCTAAGCAACTAGAGATGTTTGCTACCAGAGGCAAATATGGTTATGTAATAACTAATATCTATAAATGATTTATTCATATAATGATTGATTTTGTTTGAAGGAAGTTCTATTGATATACCGAACCAACTGGGACTTCATATTGACCACTTGATTTTTTGGTGTAGGTGCACATTACTCAAGGTGACTATGATGGAAAGGCTGTGATAATCTCATGGGTTACAACTGATGAACCTGGTCCAAATAAAGTTCAATATGGCAAATCAAAGAAGAAGTATAGTTTTAGTGCTGAGGGAACAATAACAAATTATACATTTTACAAGTACAAATCTGGCTACATTCATCACTGTCTTGTTGATGACCTAGAGGTAACTTTCTGATTTTGAGCCCTATACAACCGACCCACTCCTCTATGCTATATTATCCAGGTACCCGTACTAGGGTGATCAGTGTTCTTTTGTGACTTCAAACTTTGGTCTAAATTCCATATTCCACACCTTGTTTAATTTATCTTTGCTATATCTAGATAACATAGTCAGAAATGCAATACAAAAACATTCACAGCATGATTTACTATATCCATGGTTCAAAATGTCTAAATTCTTCCTAATATTTGCTTTCATTAAGCATTTCTTTTGCTATAAAAATATAATATTATAAAAATATATTTGACATATTTTCTAGTGCTCTAAATTGTTCTCAACATGTTTTAGTTTGTTAATTATATCTATGTAATATTTTCAATTTACATATACATAGATATCTCTGAAATAATTCTTTTAGTATTATTCTTTTTTTTTTCTTTTAATCCATTGTTCTTCAAGTTTGTCATTGCAGATGACTATTCCTTATCATTTTCCTTGATGAAGTATTTTTTTTAATAGTATATAATTTAAGAAAAATATAATTGGTATTTTAATATTTTAAATATTATGAATAAATAAATAATATAATAGCATAAGAAGCATTTTCATATGCAAATCATAATAACTTTAATATTAAATAGAACACATGTACACAACAAATAATATATAACTAAAATGTTAACAAGTATATTTAATGATTTTTTAAACTGTTAATTAGAATTATTCTAAGCAGAGGAAGAGACCATTGTGAAATGATGTAATTGTTTTAAAAACAAATTTTATAAAATTATTGGAGAGAGTATGTCCTTTTATAATTTCAAAAAATATCAACAAATTTTTTCATGGATTAATGTTTAGTATGTTACAAGATTTTTACAATAAATCTACATAGAAATTCCTAATACTTTTGATGTATTTCTTATTATTAAGTGGTTGATATTTCCACCTAGGCCAAAATTTTAAACCTTTTATGCATTTGAAAATTTTCAAAGAGATTCTTGTACACATCAAAATTTATATCTAAACATATAGTATGATTATGAACTGGAATATTTGGCATAAATTCAATGTTGCAATATTGTACTGTGAGAGGAAACTACTTAATATAGAAGGAATTCTTTGGCAAAATCCTCTTCGATTCTGAGAGTAGATGTGATATTCAGTTAAAGAACAAATAAGCATTTTTTTTTTGATAAAAGGCAAATGTATGTATGTATATATAGGATTTTTTTTTTTTTTTTGCTATGGCTACAAAATTATCCTTGGGAATTGCCTTAGATGTTTACAGCCACCATTGGAAACAAATAATTGGAATAGTAGAAATAAATTACTTTGTTATTATATTTATTTCTATACCAAATTGATTTTCCAACACTTAAAAACTTTTGACTCTCATATTTTGTAGTTTAATATCTATAACTTGCTATTATATTTCTTTGCATATTTATTTCATGAATCATTTGGATGGTGATATTAATTTACAGATTATCAGAAGTTGATACCAAATTGTTCTTTTGTTTCATAGTATGACACAAAGTACTATTACAAGATTGGGAAGGGTGATTCTGCTCGAGAATTTTGGTTTCAGACACCTCCAAAACTTGGTCCAGATGCACCATATACCTTTGGAATTATTGGTAACTTTTATCTCCTTTCCTATCTATCTGTAGAGAAATAGTTTTCAGATTAATTACACTTGGTTAAGTAATTGAAATATAAATCTACATTACATAATGAATGTAATTGCATTTAATGTGTGGAAATTTTCTTAATGAAATTTTCTATTTTAAATGTAAAATGGCAAGAAAGTTCTTTTTTGGCCATGTGATCAGCGGCTATTAGCTACTTGCCAGTTATATAGGAAGAACAAGAACATCTTTTCAGAAATTTTGACATGCAAATGTATCGATGAAATGGGTATATTTACTAAATATTATTTACATTGTTTGGTTTCTCATATCTGATTTGGTTTGCTATGTTTCAGGAGATTTGGGCCAAACATATAATTCTCTTTCCACTCTTAAACATTACATGCAAAGCGGAGGACAGACTGTCTTATTTGTTGGAGATCTCTCCTATGCTGATAGATATGAGTATAATGATGTTGGTATTAGGTGGGACTCATGGGGCCGCTTTGTGGAGCAAAGTGTTGCATATCAGCCATGGATTTGGACAGTTGGGAATCATGAAATTGAGTTCATGCCTAAAATGGTAAAATTTTTTCCAACCCACCTTGAATTATTGTTTGCATTTTGTTTTTGCGTTTGATCACTGCAATCTGTTTTTTTTCCTAGTTCCTTTTATCCTCAAATGATCGATGGATGCAGTAGGTTTCTTCAAAGGAATTAAATTTGTTCTTGTTGCATATATTCATTTATATGCTAATGTGACATTGAGTATTTTTCTCTCTAAATATTGCTGGAGCATCGTTAAAATGTAATTAGTCTGGGTGACAGGGCAGATTAATCATTGCAGCATCCATATAATTTCTCTTAATATTTCTCTAGAGTCATAGTGTATACATGATGTAATTTAAATTTGAGATCATTTGTGTTAATCATAACAGCATTTCCTACTTCCACCCCCATGTTCTTATTGACTAATGTTTGGCTATATTTATTTAGGGCGAACTTGATCCTTTCAAATCATATCTCTATAGATACACAACACCTTACATGGCATCCGGAAGCTCTAGTCCTCTTTGGTATGCAATTCGCCGTGCATCTGCTCATATCATTGTTCTGTGCAGTTATTCTCCTTTTGGTAATCTCTTGGTCCTTTGCCTGTTAACTGAGTACATTTTTAGTTAATACTACAAAGCGAATTATCATGTTCTAATGATGCTTTTAGTGTTTTTGGTGTGTGCTTTGATGTAATGATACTGAAAGGATAATATCTTACCTCCTGTTTTGCTTATTTTTAAAATGGTAACGAAGATACATGGTTACCAAGGGAAGAAAGGAAACCTAGAATGGATGCAAGCTGAACTTATTGGTCAAGGAAATCCAGGAGGAATTGACAAAGAAGAGTGAGAAACAGTAACCAAAATTCAAGCACCACACATCCCACTGGAGAACTCTGAATCCTAAAAGTTAACACCCAACATCTGTCAATCAGCAGTCTTCTACAATTGACTTCCCAGATGGTCCACCTGATTGACAAGGGATATGCCCCCATGGACCCCTCCTCTTCCTCTGCGTCTTGAAGCCATTTTGATGTCCCTTGAAGATTAAAGGAAGTATAGTAACTTCCTGCTAAAGTAGAGAAACCCATGTCAGACATCACAACTTGTTTTCACTTAATAAAATGGACACACTTGACATGCATTGTAACATCATATCTCTCCTTGAATCTCATCACAAAATGTCCAATTTATGTTGCTCTTTCCACATAAACAATAAAGAAGAAATTAAATGTTTGGCATGGTTTTCCACTGAAATATATTTAGGTCAGAACACAGAAACTCTAGAAAAAAAAACTTATTCATGATATTCTACATGATTAAAATAGCATATGAAAATGTGAAAGCAATAAGGAATGAAATCGACATCAAAGATCAGCAAATGCCTTGGATCAAGTCACTAATGCAGCTTCAATTGTGATTTGAAATCAGATGTAAAATCTACATCATAATCAAGATCAATGAACTTCAAGGCCTACAAAATGGCATTTGGAATTGCTTACCCACTAATGTCCTAAGTGGGACACATACAGGGTAAAAAAAGGTTGGCTAGGTATTTCTGATGCAGGGATTTATGGCCATTTCATCTACACAAACAAATGGTCTGGAGACTGAGAGATCTTACTTTCTGTCTTCACAGTCAACTGTAATTGATCATAGGAGATGAACCTAAGGTTCAGTTTAGAAGGAGTACAAATACAAATATGTAGAGTACAAAACCTTGTATTTTGTACTATTTTGTATGTATTTGCAGTGTACATATTTGTCTTCGTACTCCTTCCAAACTGAGCCTAAGGAACTAGCATTTTCAAGAGGAAGCATCCAAAACCATTGGTTGGCCTAGTCGAACATTCTAATTGAGTCTACATATGAAAAGGCATTATTCATGGTTATTCAGTGCATGGATCATCCAAACATATGATAAGCTAGTTATTCCAATGACCAATTTACATCAACAGTCTTTCCCTTTCCATTGTATGTCTACAAGGAGCATGCCTTATTACTCCATCATCATCTAAGCCTTGTCCCAAGTATATGGGTTGGCTACATGGCTAGATGAATCATCTAAGTATGCCTTGTTACTTTAGGAAACTAAATGCATTCCTTGGAGTATTAACTTTGATATTTTACAGAGACATAATGGTTTTACACTTTTACTCCTGAATGAGAGAACTCATCTTTGTTGACTTTATATAAATGTGTGTGTGTATGGTCTCGTCTCTATAGCTGGCACAGTTTAGTTTGCTTGTACTTAAATATTTTTAACCTTTTTCAATCAGTGAAGTACACACCTCAATGGCACTGGCTGAGAGATGAGCTAAAAAGAGTGGACAGAGAAAAAACACCATGGCTTATTGTTCTTATGCATACTCCAATATACAACAGTAATGTAGCCCACTTCATGGAAGGTGAAAGCATGCGATCTGTATTTGAGAGCTGGTTTGTTGATTATAAAGTTGATATCATCTTTGCTGGCCATGTTCATGCCTATGAAAGATCGGTATGGTTTATCACTTACTATATTTCTATTTGATAGGTAAAGGAACAAATTGCATTGTATTCATGGCTTCAAGGAGTTTAACATGGCTTTTCCATTTCATGAATTGTACTTGTCTAGTCAATTGCACAAGGTGAAATATTCAAATTATATAAAATAATTAGGTTGAAAATTTTATTTTCTTTTTCTGGTATGGTAATACCAAAGCTTGCCTTGGGAAGGGAGAGATGATGCGGTACAACATATGTAAGCTTTATAGGCCTGTCAGTTCAGCAATGTACAAGAGAAAATCATAGGTCCAAATTATTTGGAACTAAAGTATAAAAGTAATAATCTATATGCTGATTGCAATGGATGGTAGATTGATATGTGAAGATCAAAATCATACATACTGTGTATAAAAAGGGGTTGAAATACACTATCCTCCCAAGACCCTGTATAGCAGGGACCAGCATTGGGTTAGGGTAATTCCCTTTTTTTCTAACTAGAGCCGCTCAATTGAGATCTCTAGATGTGTTGAATAATCCTTATTGTATAAAAGATTGAAAGATTAAATATTTTGGACCATCTAATTTGGTCACTTTTTCTGAGGAGATACATCATTATTGAGATGCTTCCAAATGATCCCTTTTATGTAAATCTATTGCTATTTCATTTGTGAATGTGTAAATAATCTATGATGCTCAATTCTTTAGGCTTCCATTTGTACATGGTTTAGTTGTAAAGCTTCTAAGGTTTTCACCAGATCAGGTAGTGCTATTTGTCATAGAAGAATGATATTCCTCATAGGAGCCAGGTTGAATTTAATATTTAGAGACAACAATTGTTTGTAATAAGCATCATTGCTACTCTTTGAATTCATCTTGAATTTTTCCCTTACTGAGATGACCCTCCAGAACATAGGACTGAAAAGGATATTGACAGTCAAAATAGTTAAATAGGCATGGCTACCCTTCATTTTACTTTGAATTGAAAAAGAGAAACTATAACCTAGTTTGAAGATAAATTGGCTCTGTAATACCATACTGGTCACAGAGGTTTCTGCCTCAGGCAAACTGAGGGGTTTCTTTTGGATCATCTAAATTATTTTTCCTTCCCATTGAGTTGTAGTACCTCCTCTCAAATTACTCCAAGACAGTTCTGCTTCACTATTTTATGCATGATTCCCACTATCAGTTATTGTGTAATCTCATGAGGAACATGTTGGTTTGCAGTATCGTATCTCTAACATAAACTATAATGTATCAAGTGGAGACCGTTATCCTATACCAGACAAATCAGCTCCTGTGTACATTACTGTTGGAGATGGTGGAAATCAGGAAGGACTTGCTGGAAGGTGCAGTCCATGTGCCTAATTCAATGGCCTTCATCAACAAAGTGGTTTAAGACATCACATTTTGTTCTGTAATGAACTCATCATCTTTTCTTTATGCAGCACTCTCATGTTTCATTTTTTCTTTCCTTTGCTTCTGTAGGTTTAGGGACCCACAACCAGATTATTCTGCATATAGAGAATCCAGTTACGGACATTCCACGTTGGAGATAAAGAACAGAACACATGCATTCTACCATTGGAACCGCAACGAAGATGGGATAAAAGTGACATCTGATTCTGTTGTACTCCATAATCAGTACTGGTATGTGTAATGTATGATCTACTATTTTGTGCATAAGCCAGTTATGACACTAATGTTCTAACCTTCCAATTGATAGGGGTGCAAGTTGGGTACCAGATTTGAAGAATCTATCTTGCATCAGGCCTGGGCCTTTGGGTTGTGCCCCTTGAAATTGCTCAACCCAAGCCTGCCTGAGTTGCAACCGTACTTACTGGACTATGCCAAAATTTAAGGGTTAGAGCATAAAATACCTAAGAAATATAAAAACATGTCCGGTCAATTGTCATACACATTATAACCAACAAATAGTTAAGATTGTTTCTGATATTGCAAAAAAATATAATAACAGAAATTTCGTATCAACACTTCAATACTGATTTGATTAAGTGAGAAGAACCCACCTGAAGTTTTTGTGGGGCTATTCTTAGAAAAATCACAGTACAGTTCAAAAAGAATGATACAAAAAATCTATATGATAGAATCTAGAAAATCTGACATTTTTTCTCATTGAAGCATCAAAAGCCTCTTTATTATTTAGTGACATTTTAGTTTTGTCTTTCTGCAATGAAAAATCAATCTACTTGTTACAATGTATATCCTGCAACAAATTGTCACACCTAAAAGCCAAAGATCTTCCTCTGCTTTAGCATTTACAGACTATCCAACAGGTAGAGGACACTCTGGATTGGCAATGTGTTTGTTCTCATATCATCTCTATGCAAGACCTTGTAATGAAAATTTCCCTGAGTTAGACTGCTCAAACTTCAAAATTTTTAATTTAGAAGAACCTGAAAAGAAAGTATATGTTAAAAACATGGAAAGATTTCTGGGTTGAAATTTTGAAATTTAGCCCATGAATATGTGATGATTAGAATTTCAGACTGGGTGACTTTGGGGTCCAGGTTATCTCCTGACCAAGGTTCATTGATTATAGGCCACTACCGTCCTTCCATATAGATGTAAGTGATATTTTCCCCCTTCTTGTCTTTCTTAAGAGTGTAATATAGTACAACATTATATGAATTGTTTGTATAGGATGATTTATGACCATATCACTTGCACAAATGTGCACATGAAGTAGACAGAGACATGAACTTGGGCTTTTGGCTGCCTTCTCCTGAAGTGCCAGAGAGCTCTCTGGTTCAGCATCTCAACAACTCCTAGGATCGTTAGCATCTTCGATATTTAAACCATTTTACCTAAGGGAGTACAATTGGTCATCTTGTCCTAGTCATGGACTAAATGACAGGAAGGCATGATAGGACACAACAGATAAACCAATTCTTAGTGCCCAGAAAGTGGTACATGTTGCAGAGTATCAGCAACACTCTTACTTTGATTTCATGATATTGAATTATATACAGCATAACGATATGTGATCATGCAGGGCAAGAAATCTGCAGCAGAGGAAACTGAGGAACAAATATTTCAGGAAGACACTTGTTGACCGTGCAACTTACTGATGGGATTTTGGAGGTCGTTTTTTTATTAACTGTAGTAAGCTACAACTTAGAAGGCGGGAAAGACAGTTGCTGGAAATTGAGGATCGATGTCAGTTTCATTCATTCATTCATTCTAAATTTTGCAGAATCAAATGTCTATGTGTTTGCTCAGCTTCTAATTTCTTCCAATCAAGAAAAACTTCTCAACTTTCCTTGCATGTGTGTTTGTGCATGTGTGAAGGAGAGATGTGAGGATCGATGTTTTATTAATCATCTGTTATTCTGCTTTATGCTTAAAGTTACTTGATTATATGATCAACAAATCAACAATTGGTCTCTCTTTGGGTGGTGATTGATGAATGTCTGGGATTCAATCAATGTTGAAGTTAGAATGAAGCATCTCAGCATGGTTCAAAGTATTTTCTTTTATGAAATTCAAAACTCAGGGTAATCTGCTACTTGGGTGGAATTTCTAGCGTGTCCATGTTTATTGGGCAGTTGTAACTTGTAAGAAATGTTGCAACCATGATCTCAGGCTTTTAGCAGATGGTAACTCACAAAAAGCACAATGGCCAATTCCCAACTGATACAAGATTAGCACGTGGTAAATCATGATTGGCCCACTAATATGAATGGAGTTTTAGAAAATCCCTCCTTAGTATTTAAACTAGCAAGTCCCACCATACTCTCGCCAGTAGGAGTCCTCATAAAAAATTGAAAATTTGATCCAAATCGAGAAAATCTAACCAAAAAAATCCAGTTAATTGATGAACCAACCGGTATATATAGGGGTGTTAATTGGACTGGATTTGGTTCAATCCAATTCAGTCCAACGAGTCCACTACAAATGGACCAGGTTCAATCCAATCCAATAAATAGTTTGTACTGTTTTGGACCAGTCCATTTCAATGTCTAGACAATTCAATGGACCAGATATTGGCTCAGTCCAACCCAATCCAATATAAATTCATTATGGATGGACCAGGTCCAATCCAATAAATACTTTTGACCATTAAGTATGAACTGGTCCAATTCAACCTGCCTTGTTGGTCCATCCGATCTGTCCAAACTGATTTTTATTTGGACACTAGAATACTAGTGTGTTCATTCATTGGTTAATAGCCTGTTGTACACATTTTGTTTGCAGCAGACCCTGAGTCTCTAAATTGCTGCATCAGAAGCTTGAAGCACTAACGCAGGAAGGAGCAGAAGACAAGGTACAGGAATATCGACCAATTTTTTTCATCGGTAAAGAAACTTCCATGAATAATGAGACTACTTTTGGAAGTACCATTTTTCTATATCCAAAACCAGAGTCTGGTCTGGAAGATATTAAAGAAAAAAAATTCTGACCCTGCCTGTAAAAACCAAGTGATGGGTAAGAACGAATACTTTCTCTACCATTTATTTCAGGGGAAAATACTTAGGGTACGTTTGTTTTGCAATTGAAATTGGAACTAGTATGATCTATTCCCATGGTTTATTTGATTCAGACAGGAATGGGAATGGGAATTGGAATCAGCAGGAATGGAATTTCATTCCCAAGGAAGTAGCAGGGAATGACCATTTCTTCAAATGGGAGAATGCCATTCCAGCAGGAATGGGATTCTGATTCCACTCAACCAAACAATTAGAAACGGAATAGCCCATTCCAATTCCAAGACCCTTATTCCCGTGAACCAAACAGGGCCTTATACCTCCCCTGACGTTTCTGATAAGTACTTAAGCCTCGCCTCACCTTTAAACTTTGCAAAGATCTCCCTGGACCTTTGGCATAAAATCTGCTTACTGATCCCTTCCGTTAGTTGCACGCTAGAAACTTAACAGAAATATAAATCTATTGCTCTAATATTTTTTAAAATACCCAAATTACCCATGAATCATGCTTGGGTGAAATACTTATACCTCCCATAATATTTCTAATAAGTACTTAAACCTCCCCTCACCTTTAAACTTTGCAAAGGCCTCCCCTGTTTGTTCAAATTTTCAAGTAACAAAACACTAAATGAGCAAAGAGATGCGTTATGTTGTTCTTATTCTTGGAAGTGTGATTGTGACCCTAGCTGATAGTAATTCAAATTCAGAATACTTTGTTCCTGCGGGATCTGCAATTTGACAACAATGCATTCAGAGCCAATCTAATGTTCAACTAACGGAAGGGGTCAGTAAGCAAATTTTACACCAAAGGTCAGGGGAGATTTAAGTACTTATCAGAAATGTCAGGAAGGTATAAGTATTTTACCTAGGCATGATTAATGGGTAATTTGGGTATTTAAAAAAATATAGCAATAAATTTATATTCCTATTAGTATTAAGTTTCTAGCGTGCAACTAACGGAAGGGGTCAGTAAGCAGATTTTATGCCAAAGGTCAGGGGAGGTCTTTGCAAAGTTTAAAGGTGAGGGGAGGTTTAAGTACTTATCAGAAACGTCAGGGGAGGTAAAAGTATTTTACCCTTTATTTCTTGTACAACTTTGAAAATAAATTAATACGACTCCTCAGATCCATTATATTGTCATTGTGGTCCAACCAAGGGTGGCCTCCAATTCCTTTTCATCTAGATCATGCAATGGATGGAGTTAAATGAAACCTTGGTTAATTTGGATTTTGACATTAGTTTGGATTCATATTTAGAGTGGCACTTAACCTAACCAAGTCCATCTAATTTATACCTCTATAAGAGAGAGCCAAAAGGGGTTAAAAGAGATTTAAGGGGAGAAGAGGGATTTAATAATCTTATTAGAGAGAATAAATGTGGATTTCATAAGAGACGATAAAGGCCCACGAGGATTTTTATTTTCACTTGTTATATTTTAATAATTTAATTTAAAAATAAATATCCATATGTATGAGAAATGAGATTGTTAAGCTCTATGGTGAGAGGACCCCTCTTTCCTCTTTCTAATATAGATATAGATAAGAATTGAGCACAGAAGGTACAACTAGAAATAGCATAAGGAAGAAAAGGTAAAGAATATGAAATTTATTGGAAGAGAAGTCTGGAGAACATATGAGACAAACATCTATCATAGCATATGACTTCTTCCTGATTTTGATCTGCAGAATCTCATCTTTTCCTTTATCACTAGATCAAATATTTGGCTTTGACTATTTTTCAGAGTTACAAAAACACATCCCACCCTGCATATTTTCTACACGAGGCCCCTAAGATTTAACTCTAAATTCTGTTGAGGAACACATGCATCTCAAATTCAAATACAGGCAGGAAGGGGCTGACACGAGAATTGCAGCAGGGAGTTTCAACTTCCAAGTATTCTTATACACCTCCCTGAAGTGCAGAGTGCATGCGAAGAAAATTAAGATCCACTTTGGCTCACATCAATTAGGAATCTCTGTATATTGGTTGTGGTGTCCATTTGAGATGCAAATTTAGCTTTCCAGATTTAGCACCATCCAGAGGGAAGCTGTCAGTGTATTCTCTTTCTAATAAAACCCTAGTGAGTGTTAAGATGCATCTCCCCATGTAGTCCTGCAAGTGATCAAACGAGACAATTAATAGTAATACAGTTTAAGAAATCTAACAAGTACCATGCCAAACCAATGTAAGAGTTCTGTACAGACTTATAAGTTTGTTGTAAATTGCAGGTTACAATCGATATCTCTGTTAGTGCTATAAATCCATAGTTGCCCATCCTTCAGACCAAGTCAAACTGGGAACTACAAACTTGCAGGTTAAGTAATGTGGCAAACTAAACCCATAGCTGCCCAGCCTTAGGGGGATAGGAATCAAGCAAATACACATGATACATGGAGAGAGAGAGAGAGATTTATGTTGCTATAGTCATCCAAACTGCATCAATTACCATTACTGTCACTGCAGAAATTCCAGAGAAAAACTTTAACTATACACATATACACCCCAAATACTTTCTGATATCAGCTGTCAGATTGCATCAACCCAACCTACTCACTTAATTCAGTGTTGCATGGACATGGGGGCGAGAATAAGAATCCAAAGCATGTCTGGGACTCTGACTCAGCAAGAAAAAACAAGGACTAACACACATCTATAGAAAAGTATAAATAATTAGAAATAGTCCATATTTTTTTCGGATTCTAACATCATATACCTAAAGTTTAGGACTTCATATGTGTTACTTCATAATAGTTTCTTAAAAAATGATATTCTTTGTGTATTTTAGATATTCATTTATGTCAAACAATCAAGTAGATGGAGTAAAATGTTTAGTTCAAGTGCCCATCAAGAATCCATGCAATGTTATGTATCCAACATGTGTCCAGCACCGGCGGTTCATCCACTTAAAAGAGACCATGCAACACCATTCAACATTTGATGTAGGCAGTTTTACCAAGACACCTCAAAACTAAAGGGTGTAGCCAAGCTGACACTAGGTGCTTCACACAACTCCTTTTAGCATCTCAACTATTCTCCAAGATGAAGTCAGCAAATATCTTGGCACTTGGCATTTGTAAGCAAGGTACCAAAAGAAACGAAACACTCTACAAGTAACCAAGACTTTGATTTTCTCATTTCTACTATACCTTTAGATTACTTACATATTTAGATATTACTTATCACTATGCCCCATACCATGACTTTTGAAGGTTTTTGTGCTGGCCACCTTTGGATGCTTGAATACTCGGCATCTTTGCTACATACCATTATACCGAGATAACAGTTGATGTGGTGTAGGGTAGGGTTTTTTACAATACAGCCTTGTAGTTTTCATTAAAATAATAAAAGAATAAAAACTATAGATTAGATCGTTGCTCCCAAAAATGGAATCTTAGTCATTACATCATAAATACAACCCACCAACTCATCAACATTCAGCATGGCTACTTCTTGAATAGGCCACAGCCATAACCAAGTTCAGCATCCTTGCCTAATGACAATTATCATCAGATTGGAGGCTTATGCAAGAATAGCAAACCAAATAGATGGTCTAGTTCTGAAGTTGGTAGGAAGCATTACATCAGAGGTGTCTGGAAGCATGAATAGGTGTCACAGTCTCATCCCTAGGAATAGCATTCAGCAAGATAATTCCATTTAATCCAAGTGCCCATCCGCTAAAAGACAAGAAAAGATTAAGTTAAACAGGAGATGTTACCTTACTAAATGTGTCATGGTCCCAAAGCTCCAGAATTAGCATATCATGTAAAGCATCCTCCACAACAAAGTCAAATGTCTGATTCCAAACTGGATTGAGGCTGTTATTCACTACCTGATAAATCAACATAATTTCATATATGTTAAGATCATATTTTGTTTTTATTGAATGGTCACCAAAAACATGGAGGGAGATCCCTGATCTGATGGATGATCAACAAAAATACACGACATCTATTGGGAAGAAAGAAAACACAAAAGTAAATAAATAAAGTTGTGGCAGTTCTTGCTGATGGGCAAATTGAAAGTTACCCTAGTTCTGTTCTTTGTCTCAGTTTTCTTCATAAGGAGAACAACATAGGGATCAGCCTTTCCTATCAAATCAACTGTCGGCAAATCTTCAGCAGATATCACCGTCACTGAAAGAACTCCTCTCACAATCACCTCCCTTCTCTTTTGTGAAGCTGCTTTTGCAATATCACCAACCTCAGTTCCATCAGCCTCAACCTTAAAGACCTTCTCTAAAGAGGTCATTGATACTTGGGGGGCAAAAGGGTTAACAAACCCATTTTCCATGCCAAAAGGACAGTATAGAAGTTCCAAATGCACCTAAAATACAACATATCGGACAAATTATTAAAACATAACAAAGAAAAACAAGTTCCTAAGGCATTCTAACTCACATACAGAAAGAAAAGTGCTTTCTCAGAAGCTGTTTCCAAAAGATTTCTATGCACATGCAACTGGTCTGACAATGAGTTTGCAAAAAATCTTCTATTTAAATAACCTGCAAAGCTCCTCTATCTATAAGATAAAAAAAGTTGGGCTTGATCTGCTTAAGAATGTCAAAATTATTGATGAATACTGATTAAAGACTTTCTAGAAAGAAAGCCAATATAATATAGCCAGGAAAATAGTTAAATCCGACACAACCCAAGGGAATGCCTTAAAATTGATTTTTTTTATCAAGTGCCTTAAAATTGATCGGCAAATTCAGGAATGAAAACTCCTGAGGTTTAAAAAGAAAATTACAGGCTCTTCAATAGTTGGGGTTGTGGGGTTTCCCAAGGCCTAGAAGGCAGCATTACTATGGTGTATTTAGGTCCAAAAGGACATGGAGACTCTTTTTTAAGGTAAGAGACCTCTGGCATCTAAAGTGAACATCCCATTCTCTGTTTTATGAGCCAAAAAGAAACATGTGAACAGATCATTCAAATGGATATTTTGGTCAACTAACTCTCAGATTGAGAGCTTGGTTAGCAGTTCTTTTGGGGGAGACAAAATGTTCTCAAGATCTACAGTTCCAGGTTAACCATATCTTTCTGCCTTCACTTTTGTCTAAAAGAAACATGTTCTCAAGATCTACATCCCATTCTCTGTTTTATGAGCCAAAAGGAAACATGTGAACAGATCATTCAAATGGATATTTTGGTAAACTAACTCTCAGACTGACAGTTTGGCTAGCAGTTCTTTCAGGGGAGACAAAATGTTCTCAAGATCTACAGTTCCAGGTTAATTATATCTTTCTGCCTTCAATTTTTTCTAATTATGTATTTTTACAGCCTTTCGAGTGTGTATTCTTTCGTCCAGGGGCTCCCAAAAAGCAATTTTCTTTTTCCTTTTTTTTTTTTGCTTGTTAGGCAAGAGCCTTTTCTTGGTAATAAAATCTTTTGTTAATGATTTAAAAATTATGTTTTGGAAATTTGTTTGTTTTCTTAACATGTTTTCTTCATGTTCTCAGATCCCTTGATTGTTGTTATCTTTCAGTATTATTATCTTCTTTAATTTTTCTGATTGCTAAAAGGAACTTTTTTAATTTATGGAATATAATGAATACCCAGATACCTGTACAAGGGCTCCATGTTGTGCCAGATACTTCAATTTTTAGTGTAAATTTCATATCCAGCTATGTCTTTGCCATGTCCAAGATGAGTCAACCACCCCTTTTAGGAATTTAGGCTAGATAATCCCATATACAAGAATTCAACTTACAAATGACTGTAAGAAAATAAATCCGCAAAATAATACCCTTCTATTAACCCCTTTCCTAGCTACTGCATCAGTTAGGCTCTCTGTGCCTATGTGAATGTTTCCATCAACTCCCTATCCAGAAGTCATTCTCTCACTGTATGCCTCTAAACCCAATTGCTTGAACCAACTCACAACCACCCTTGGATCCACTTCCACCAATAGGTCTTTGTAATCAAGTGTACTTCCCAATTTCAGATCTTGTAAAACACCCAACAATTCTGCCCTCATTGAATTGCCATGGTCTATAGGCCCAGAAAAGATAGCCATTATTTTCCCTTGGCTCTTTCCAAACACGCCCCTACACCTGACCCACCTAGATTGCCCAAGCAACAACTATCAAAGTTTAGCTTGATAATATGAGAGGCTGGTGAACCCCAGCATAGAAGAGTATGTATCATAGAGGCAGATAAAAACCCCACTTGATGCCAGCCTCAAATGATATCATTCATACAAAAAAATTGGAATAGTGACCTGAATCTAACTCAATAAGCCATCTTTATCATGATGGTTTTAATACTGCTTCTTTGGTATGAGACTTGCCTTCGGAGATTTTAGTATTTCTTTCCTCCAATATAGACTATAACATGGCTTCCTTGTACATCTCCATAGCACTTTCCCTCTCTTCTTAGGAGGACAAAAGGGACTCAAGAAAGAAAAGACATTTTCTAGAAGAATCAACTTGCATCCAAAAAGTGAAAGGAAAAAAATCCCAAATGCCCAGATGCAGAAGGGCAGGAGATTACTGGTGGAAAGAAATCTCAGAACTTGTTCTACACAAAAAACACCCATGAAGCAACAAGTACCAATAGGGCCTTCTATTTTGATGGCACTGTTCCTTCCCATAGTGCCTTCATAGGAAAAGCAAAGGAGATTCTAGAATATTACCATCTATCAATTCCATTCTTGACTACTTTCTTTATCTTAAAGGCCACTACCCAACATTGGTCCCAGCTATCTGGAGTCTTGGGAGGGGTGGACTGGATATGGACCTAACCTTTGGCATTCTCTTCTACACAAAGTGGCCACTCTCTGCTATCTGGAATTTTGGTTGATCTTTATTCCTACTTTTGTACCCTGGATATTGGTTAGTCTTGGATATTGCCCACCACGTTTATTCAGTTGAGCCACCAAAGTCAATAGTCCCAGTCCTCATTCTCTGGATTGCAAGCATGTTTAGCTTTCCATTACATTGTTTCTTTGAACACTGCAATTGCTCCACCCATACACCAAATTAGTCAATTCTAATTCTTCCTCTATTTCTGCCCCATTCTTTACCTGGCCCTTAAGAGCCCTTTCTCCCTCATAAACTAGCCATATAAAAGCCCTAAAGCCCAATAACCCCTCTCAAAAACCCTCTAAAGAGCTCTTTGATAATGGATGAAGAGGCTGAACTTAAGGATTCAATGTTCTGTATTTTCTGAATAAAACAATCATAAAATAAAATTTTTAGGGCACAGTAATCAACTGAACATTCCATTCAGTAATTAAGGAGTTCACAATCCACATAACAACTTATTCACTAAAACAGAAAGCAATAAATCACTCAATTTGATCATCTCAGCTGTTATCAGATGGCTCATAAGTATCATCATAAACCAGAGCTTCCCCAATTGGTTCTTGATTATTGATGTCAAAGAATCCCTGGAAATTGAACAGACAATTTTATTGTACAGCCATTATCCAATGCTGGTTGTTGCTATCCAAGGTCTTGGTATGGGTGGACTAGATATGGACATAACCTCTAATATTTTCTGCATGAAGTAGTTGTAAAGAGATATATTTTATTTGGTTTTATCTGGTTGTCAATGGACTAGACCCGGCCCATTGACAACCCTAGTCAATATCTATTTTATTTACCTCATACAAGTTTTGCATGGAAGAAGTTTGATGAAATGTTTCAACAATAATCCTTTATTATGCTCATCAGTTATGAATTATTGTTGAGAAAACCCTTGGAATTTTGATCTCCTTAAGCGACATGGTATTTTGACTCACTTTATCTAGTTGGCTTTTCATTGGCCAAACTTTGATTCTTTGGCTTGGTTTATGGAGTCCACCAATCACCATAGTTGGCTTTCTGCTAGCAAACTCTGTTTTGGTATTTTGTTGGCATTTTTTATTATCTAGTTGTTTGACATGGTTGGTTCATCAATTTAATGATTGTGATTGTCCTTTTGATAGCTAACTTTGATTCTCTGGCATGATATGTGCTGGCTTTCCATTGGCCATCTTCAATTTGGTGATTACTAGATCATGATTTGGCTCTACTCAGGCTTTCCAACGCGAGTTCATTCAACTTTCCAACATCCAACTTTGGTCTCTAAGAGGTCACATCAACATCTCAAGTTTCACGATTGCTACTTCAACAGTACACCGATTTTCATGGAGGTTGTTTCAACATCCTTGCAAACTCATGTTGGTTTCCCCACCTCAAGCTTGAGGGAGGATGTAAAGAAATATATTGTATTTGGGTTTTCATTCAAGGAGGGTGTTAGAGGTTGTAGGGGTATATTTGTATTGTTGATAAATTTTGGGGACTTGTATGTATTTACGGGAGGAAGAAGGGCTTGTGTAAAATTCTGATGTAATTTGGTCTTTTGCTTATTTAAGCCATTGGTGTGGGATTAGGGTTGAGTGAGAGTGGACATTTTGTTGTGAGTTTGTAGAAATGTCAATCTTGTATTTCTTATTCTCATAGTGGATGTTCTCCCTCTCTTCCCGTGGGTGTAGGCTACCGAGCCAAACCACGTTAAAACTTGATGCTTTCTCTCTTTCCTCTTCCTATTTTCTTCTTGGTTTACAATTCTCTTTCCTACTAGTTGACAATCTCACTAGACCTATTCATGGGCCAAAACACGTTAAACCAGCCTGCTCCTAGTCGGGCTTAGACATGATCTTAGGCCAGCATGCTCATGCTTGGGCCCAAAACACCAAGCTTGTGTTTTCTTTTTATTTATTTATTATTATTTTTTTTTGGGGGGGGGGGGCTCGAGATTTCTCAAAAAAGCCCAGCCCAAGACTGTGCCCACCCTAACTTTATTATATATAATAAAAAATATATAAACATTTGTATATAATATTATATGTACTTAAATATATTTCTTATTAACTCAAAACCCTAGCCTGGCAAACCGACAACAAGCAACTTTCTATAGGCACCACCGCACCACCAGGTAGGTCCTCTATCTCTCTCTCCATTTCAGTTTTAGGGTAAGCATTTTCTTTGATTCCTTCAATAAAATCTTTTTCCTTTGTTAAAGAAAAGCTGTCAAAAAATGTGATCCCTTTGACAATGGAAGTATGACTTAAAAACGAATTGGCCATGGTCTAATTGAGCTAATTGACCTAGGCAAAGGAAGTCAAGATTCAGGTTGTGCCATGTGCTGCCACAAGGTTGGTCTAGTTAACACGCTCTTGTTTGAAAGTAAACAATTAATGGTAGCTGAACCAAATAACCCTTCATGCACCATCATCACTCAATAGATACTAGCTCAGATTCTCAACAAGTTTGTTCTATTGCATTAGTGCTTTTGGTTGGTAGGCTAGCTAGAGTTATTGGATGGTCTTTGGCTTCTCTCTACTACACAAAAGCAATCAATCCTTCTCTTCCTAGGAAAGCAAGAGGCAAAGAAGGCACTAGAACTCAAAAAGTATAGCTGTCATCCCAGGATGGGCTTTGGGCTTTTATGAGAGTCGAGCACAGCACAAGTTGTAGGCCCGATGGTCAAACCGGGCTTGGACTTGGGCTTGATCAAATTCTATTAATAAAGAGTAAAATCCCAGCCCGTGAACAGTCTATTAATAGAGAGTCGAACTCGGCACAAGTTGTAGGCCTGATGGTCAAACCCGGCTTGGACTTGGGCTTGATCAAATTCTATTAATAAAGAGTAAAATCCCAGCCCATGAACAGTCTACTAGTCACTCTCAGGCTCAAACCCATGTTCTCAAACTTCTAGGCCTGAGGTTTTACCATTGCACCATACAATTTTCCTTGACTATTTTATTGTAAGGCAGGATGAAGTTAGTAAAATTCAGTTCTCAAATGTTAAGTCAAAATTTCAAAACCTTTTTACCCTCTAATCTGTTGTCAAGTTGGTACTATGAAAAATGATCCTAATCTTAGGGTCAATTTGTTATAACCCATATTGAGAACAAACAAACTTATTGATCAAAAAAATATTGAGAACAAACCTGAAACTTCTTTATGTGGGATATGAACATATCCACATGTCCCTTAAACATGTAATTAACCACATAAGTTCTTTATACTTTGCATAATGCATTTACATATTTGAATCTTTAATATGCAGTAAAGCTCTACAGTTATCTATTAAAAAATGTAATTCTGGAAGGCAGTGTAGCCCTAGAATTGAACTGGACAATAATGCCAATTTCCCTAGAAGATCAAAGAGTAACTCTTTTAGCAAAGTGACAAGGGAACAAAAAAGTAAAAACAGGAGTTTTCTATGTACTTTTTATATTTTTAAACAGTAGGGGTATTTTAGTTATTCCAGAGGCCATTGCACCAAAATTTTCACACTGACAAGCAAGAGAATGCAGGTTCTGCCACTTTATGTAAAAAAATGGCGAAGGTTAGATCTCTATCGAGTCCATTCTCCCAAGATCCAGGTAACCAGGGACCACCATTTGGTAATGGCACTTTTTTAGAGGTATTTTGATCATTTTACATGTATGAGGGGTTCGGCCTATTTGATTTTTCTGGTTGTAGTTTACTTATGCCCAAAATTCCAGTTATTAGTTAAGTAGTTTAGTAGTCATTTAGATTCATTTGGGTTGAACTATGAGTGGAATATAATGTTTGGGTTTTCTATATTTAGGAAGGAGTTTTGCTGACTCTACATAATTTATAGATGTGTGTAAAGTTGCTAGAACATTGCTAATGAAATTGGAGATTATTTTCTGGTTTGTGTGACATTTGGTGAATGATTCTAAAAGCCCTAGAGTGATTGCTAAGTTCTCTAAATAGAGGGCCAAATTAATTATGTTGTAAGTTCTCTTTCAATTTCTTTCAATTTCACACACTTTCTATACAGAGAATTTTCTCTCTAAATTATCCCTCACAAGTAGGGGAGGCAACGAGCCGAGCTCTTCACGAGCTACTCAAGCTCAGCTCATGAAAAGCTTAGCTCGTGAGGCTCGCGAGCCAGCTCGAATATATATATATATAATAAAAATATTATAATTCTTAATTTTTTAATACCAAATAAAAAAATATTTTTATATATAATTTTTTATTTTTATAAAACATTTTTTCTCAAAATCGAGCTCAAGTCGAGCCAAGCCAAGCTCGAGCTCAAGGTTCTAGCTCGAACCAAGCTCAAGCTCAAGATCGAGCCTTGTAGAACAGTCTCGAGCCGAGATCGAGCCTTGTACTATTCGGCTCAGCTCGACTCGGCTCGAATCCACCCCTACTCACAAACCTTGGAAAAACTCAAGTTTCATTCAGCCATCTCCCACATTATAGGTCCATTTTTATCACATTAAAATAGATTTCAAAGATTCCCACTAAAAACCCCTTAGTTTTCAAATTTTTCTAATTTTGGAAACATTCATCCTTGTGTGCCAAACCATATCAAAATTCATCCAAATTTTGTCCCCCTCCTTATTTTAAAACCCAAAAACCCCCTCTTAAAAAGTTTAAAGAAATTCCATCCCAATCTCAAGTTACTAAACTTTTTCTCTCTTTAGAATTTTTTTGCATATTGCAGGAATTTCAGCCCTAAAGTAGCTTTCAAATCAAATTTCAAAGCCTACAACCTAAGATAAACTCTCATCTACCTCTGATGGTCCCACTCCTGCTCAGAAAAATAAACCATAGGCTCTAAAACCTCAAAAACATTAAATCTCTTTAAGAATTGTCCTCAAAATTTCTACTAGTCCAACCTTGAATCACCAGTCCTACCTTAATTGGTAACAAAGCAATTAATCTTACATTGTTTAGTATCAGAGCACTCAGCCTACATCACAAAGAGCATTCCTATACTATCCCTCATGAAAATAGTAATGTTGGTCGTTTTATCTCTGCTACTGGCATGGCTCCACATCTAATCCTAATTCCCAACCCAGGACTTTCATCAAAGAAAAAAACATAGGACTTTTTTTTCTCGTAATAAACCATTATACAGAGGAATTCTCTAGTAAACTTTTTCTGGGATGCTTGGCAGAATTATTAGTGATTATGAAAATACAAAAGCTGAACGACTCCACCCTCTGTTTTTTTTTTTGTACTTTATCTTGTTATTATAATGGTTACATATATTTTGTTATTTTTGAAAAGTTAATACATATTGTATTATAACATTCTTTAAAAAACTAAGGTTTTTATCATTTTACTTGTGGGAGATAGAAAACTTAACACAATGGTTAGGATTCTTAAAATTTTTGGCCCTACTTTGCACATCTTGACATGTATATTTACACTTGAAAATAATTTTGATTACTCATAAAAGAAGAATGAGTTAAAACTTCTTTATTAATTTATGAGTAAAAGATAAAAAGAACATCAGAAATCAATTAGAAAAGGAAAAGAGAGGCACTTGGTTTTCTCACCTGGCCCCTGTTTTTATTATCTCTCTGGACTTCCAAATCTTTGACCAATTTCAACCACACATCCTTCACCTTACCAGGCTCAAGACTCTTTATTGGCACTTGAGCACATCCAATAAACTCAGATGCCTGAATTCCTTCATCATCAAAAATTTTTATTACCAAGCGTTGAGTGGATGCATCTTCAACTATAAATTCAAAATGTTCATTCCAAATTGGATTTAACTGGTTGTTCTGAAAGAGAGGAAAAACCATTATTATTTGGATAAGCAGAAGAAAACAAACAGAAAATGGACAAAAGAGGTAGGTTATCTTGACAAACAATTATTTTGCTGGTTTTCATTCTATCACACAATGGCCGTATGTACAGTACAGCATAGGGATCAGATTTTCCAATGATATCTTTATTCGTTAACTCCTTGGCTTGCACAAGCTTCACTTCTAATGTCCCAACAGGCTTTAACTCTAGATCACTAACATGTAAGAACAAAATTACAGGCAAAGGTAGTCAGTAATATAAGAAGACAGTGTTACATTTACTGCCAAAATGAATATGAGCATCTTATGAAAACTTTAAGAATTATCAATAAACACGGTAGACATCTATGGATGGTGGGACCACCCAGAAGATTGCATGACATGATCCAATAATTGAACAAACCAATCCTTACGAATTTTGCACTTCCAACTCAATTTTACTCCTCATTAGTCCATAAAAAGGACAAGTATTTTTAGATTTCCAAAGAACCAATAGAATATGTGATTTGTAATCATATTCTAGATGAGTGACACCAAGAACCCTTTTCATACATCACAATTCTTCTAAGGCTATCAGTAGATATTAATATATTACAAATTTCCCTTCATGTGGTCCACTGAATAAATAGTGTAGCCTTTCTTTTTATATTGACAAAATGCAATACCTATAATCCCCTGGTAAAATGGGAATGACTTTCCGGACTGGCCATGTTAAAGAGTCTTCAACAGCATCACGAATGGTTCCCTGCATAAATGGACATACTGATACCATTAAAAAAGAAAATATAAAATAGAATGAAAGCTTGCTCCTAAATAAATACAACCCTCCAGAAAACAAAACCAATTACTATCAAGTATGCATAACTCCTTTGGATAAGTTGGTTGAAATGCATAATGGTGGAAGCAATGACCATCCACTCTTTCAGATATTTTCCTTTTCCTGGATAATAGCTAATTGCAGAAAGACAATAACCAAGGTATTTCAAATATAAATTGATTACTTTGGCTTGCTTCCAAAGGCCACAGCAAAGAGAAACTAGAAAACACTTGGTGGTTGAAATACTTGGACGACATAGACCAACTACCTCTACAAAATCAAATTAATCCCAGCCTTCATTGGTTAAAAACTCTTATCTGATGAAGAACTATTGATGCAGGCATGGAAGCAAGGAAAGAATCCATGGACAAAATCAATTTTCTCCCAATTTTTCATCCAATGGAAATTTTGTAATTTTTGGTGTATTGGATTTTTGTATTTGTAAGCTTTTTAAATTATTTTCTAGTTTGTTAGTATTCTTAGTATAAGGGCAACTTTTTTCCTAGTAAAAATCTAAAATGCTATTTATAGTAACTTTCAGACTTGTTACTTATAGTAATTCCCATAATTAGTACTTATAGTAAAATCATGATATACTGGTTTTAGTAATTTTTGGTGTCTTTACAATAATTTAATTTTAATAGCATTAATAATTGTTATTTAGAATTATTTTAGGATCTCCACTCAGATTTGGGAACACTTTCTCAAATCCATGGATATCAGTTGGGTTATGCCTAGGTCGGATAAGGAGCTTCTCTGCTGCTGGAATGTTAAAGGCCTAAGCAAGAAAGGGAGTTTGGTGTGGAGGACTATTCCGGCTGCTGTCTTGTGGTCCATTTGGGTGGAGAGGAATAGTAGGGTTTTCTGTAATAGAGCTAAAGGTCCTGAAGGTATTATTCAGAGAGCTGTGGGCAAGCTGATATCTTGGGTTTCTGTATCTGAGGAATTCAAAAGTCTGAATTTGTCTTCTTTCCTTTGTTCTAAATCCTGGTGGAGAATGTAATTGCTGTGGTTTTCAGGATGCCTTTCAGGGCCTGAATCCAGCTTGTATGTGCTTTTGTTTTGAATAAAATTACCTTACCTTTTAAAAAAAAAGAATTATTTTAGGAGTTATAGTCCTTATTTGAGTGTGGGTTATCTACTGGGTTGCCTTAGTTTTGAAGTGGTTAGAATTTATTAGAGGTCACGGGGGTAGGAATAATTCATGGCTGGGGAAATGGTTGTGGTGAGGGATGTTGACAAGCTTTGTACAAGGTGATCTTAAGTATCCATGAGCTGTCAACAAATTGGTGGGGTGCTGGCCCTTCAAATAGAGCTACACTCTTTTCCCCTTGGAGGTCAATCTCCAAGTCATTCCAGATTTCATTAATTTTGTAAGGTATGATGCTTGTTCAGGGGGCAGAATTAAATTTCAGGAGGATGTTTGGATTGGGAGCAAAACTTTAATGGACTCTTTTCCTAACCTATATTCCATGTCTAACTTTAAGAATAAAACCATCAGTCATTTTGTATCTCCTTCTGATAATGGTGTCAATTGGGGTTTAGGCCTTAGGAACTCAAGATGTTGTCTCGTTTAAATTCTTTAGACAAGGATTACTTGATGTTTTGTGTGTTTTGCTAATGGAGAGTCTACTCACCACTTACTAATCTCCTATGGTTTTGTCTCAGTAGAAATCAGAAGAAATATAGAAATATATATATATAAAAAGAATAGAATGAAAGAAAGAGTTTGTGAGAAAAGGGAAGAGGAAGAGAAAGAATGAAGAAAGGAAGAGAAAATTAATGCTGGCCGCTCTCTTCCATTAGCATTTAATCTTTAAGTAAAAAGTATGTACAAAGACAAATATGCCATCAACAGGGCGGCTGATGCTAACAACTTTAAAAAAGAAACAAAACACTACTGTAGCAACTTCTAAATAATGGGCTGTGGTCCCAACTAACTAACTAAACAAAGAATAAATAAGAAAATAAGCTATTAACAGTAAAAACCTCAACACTCCCCCTCAAGTTGGGAGAAAATGTTACACATTCCCAACTTGTGTATAAATCATGTTCAAGCTTGCTCTTTTTTACTACCTTGGTAAAGACATCAGCCAACAGTAAACGGGAAGAGGGATAAAGAAGGCAAACTTCTCCAACTGTCACCCTCTCTCTTATGAAGTGTCTATCAACTTCAATATGCTTTGTCCTGACATGCTGAACTGGGTTATGGGCGATATTAATTGCTGATTGATTATCACAGTATAACATCATAGGATCCTCTACATAAATCCCAATCTCTCTCTCTCTCCCCCCATTTTCTTCTAAAGGTGCAATCTTTCTTCTCTTCGTTCTCTTTTTCAGATCTGAATCTCTTCCTCCTATAATTCAGATCCTTAGTCTCCCTCTTTACCTACCACATTCACCTAGTAGGGCTTCCTCCTACTCATCCAAACTGGGCAATTTTGGGAGATGGTTAAGAAATAAATACATCTATTGGATAATGACTGTGTTACAATTTTCTACTTTTTTTCATATTATTATCATTTTTCCTTTTTTGAATACACTAACCACTCTGATGTCTATGATAATATAAGTTACTATAATCTTGAAAGGCATCAACTGGTTAGGAGGATTTGAAGAAGCAGGGTGTAATGGGTACAAAGATGGAAGACTGAAGATGCTGATCACTAACTGCAGTTAGTTAAAGCTATACTTGGTTTAGGTAGGGGTGCAAGTCAGGTACCTGACTTGAAGAATTTACATGGCATTGAGCTTGGGCCTTCAGGCCAGGCCCATTCAAATTTTAACAAATGCTTAACCTGATCCCACCAAGTTGCAGCCCTAGGTTTGGGAACCCAGGGATGAGATCATAAGAATATGGATTGGAGTCTGAGACTGGCCACCTTGTGCAAAAAATGCTGAAGGTTAGGTCTCTCACAACCCCAGATAGTTGCAATTATCATTGGGTAATAACCCTTTTGGGAACCCAAGGAGGAGAGAGGTTTTTTCTTCAACCTTCAAAAATTGTATTAGGATAATAAGAAATAAAAAGAATTTGGTAGGACCGTGAATTGACTGCTCAAGACCCCAAATTCAATCCAAATCTGATCTAATCAAGCTAGATATAGATTTCCAATGGTAGATCCATTTTCTGATGATTTCAAAAGAACACGTTCGGACAATACAACCAAGATCATGAATTGAGTAGCTATGATATTCCTTAGTTTAAATTTCAGAGAGGAAATTTCCCTGCCAAGCGAATTTTTAGGATTCATCAATCAATGGTCCTGCTTGTTCAGTCATCCATTTATTTATTTATTTGTGTATTTAAAAGAGAAACACACACGCCATGATACAACCCTTAAATAAAAGACTTACCTAATCTTTAATGAATAAACTCTCCTACAGAAAACAATTAGCCATATAGATAAAAGTGGGAGAACAAGAAATAAAATTTCACCAAACCTCAATAGCATCATATAGCCCAGGAATTGTTGATATATCACCACCAATAACTTTAAGTGTAAAATCCAGATTTTTCTGCCATCAAAGAAATCAGGACATTTGTCACAACTTCCATTTATTTACATGTGCAAACATTGAGGATGTGCATCACTACATCAACCAAAAATGAGTCTGTCCAATTAAAAAAAAAAAAGCCATAAAAATAGACCTTCTAAAGGCGAAAAAGGTTTCTTAGAAAGAAAAGCCTAACCTTTTCCATCAGAGAATAGGAAACCGCTCCAAAACAAGGAAACTGATCAACCAATGGCTTAAAGATTAACCTGAAGACCCCAGTGAAGCCAACATTTTTTACCTAGACAACCAAAAGATGAATTAGAATTAGGAAAATAGCTCATGAAAAAACAGAAACAACTGACAACATACATGAAGAGGATCAAAGGGAAAAAAAATTAATATATAGCAGCATCATGATATTTAGAATTTATTAATACAAATATCAACAAATTGGTAACAGAGGATAGGGAATATAGCTGCAGTAATTTTAGATCAAGATTATTAGCAACTTGAGAGATGATAAAAGAATGAAAATAAATGATTGTTTACTCCCGAACTGGTGCATACTCTGGAAGGCTAATAGTGAGACTGGTTACCACTTACCAATCTCCTATCCATTTGTTACCTATATTTGGGAATGGTTCTTTTCTCTATTCGGATGCAGGTGGGCTTTGCCTATGATCTTATCTAGTTTGTTCAAGGCTGGTACCTTCAGTTTGCCCAGGAAAAGAGGAATTATTATGTGGAGATGTACAAGAGATGTTGTTTTATGTTCAATATGGGAAGGAATGCATAGATTTTTTATGATAAAGAAAGAAGTAAGAAAACAATTGGGGAGAGCATTATGGCAAGGGTGACTCATTGGGCAAAATCCTCGGAATTGTTCTCGCCTTATTCATATGATGACATAAGGAGGAATTGAGGCGTAGTGGCTGCATCTTCTTCAAGAAAGAGTAAAGTTCAGAAGGATTGGGAACCACCAGAGGACAGTTTCATAAAGTTAAACTTTGATGGGAGCAGCTTTATGTACCACTCAGCATGCATATTAATTAAAAATATAGCAGTTCTCTTTATTAAGAATATTACCTTTCCTTTCAAAACACGGCAAATCATCATATCTAGGGCAATAGTATTTCGAATATATTAATTTAAATACTTTCAAAAATAGTACTAACATAATAACCATTTAGTAGAGCAATTTCATATAAAATTAGCAACTAGTGAAGGCTATAATTTTATATGATAATATTTAAGATAGAAAGTAAAAAAGAAAAAGAACAAAGGTGGAGCCATTGTTTTTATTTAATGTAAGAGAGAGAATGTAATAACAAAAAAAATAAAAACTTGTTATAAATTATAATCAAGGTTCAAAGTATCAATACGATACACCCTATATTGGGCATATCATATCATATCAGTGGCTGAACGAAACACCTTTTTTAAGGATTTTATAGAAACTTAGTTTTGTAAGCATTAATTACCCTTAAAACCGACCTCCCAATGAATGCCAGAGCCAAAAAAAAAAAAGTGTTTTATAGTACTGAAACACCTGATGCACATGTTCATGCCTATTGGGTGTATCGTTACTTTGAACCATGGTTATAACTCTTTTCTTCTTTCTTTATATATTCTCAAAACCCTTGGATCTTTTAAATTTGAATAGTAAAACTTTAAAACAATGTGTAAAACTACAAATGATATATGTAGTATATAATAGAATGTATTAACAAATATATTAGTAACATATAGCAAATGAATGATATTATAATAAGGCACACACCTTGTCATTTTTGTTGCCTAGATGGGTGCCTAGTTGCCATAAGTCAAGGTGTTTAAGCGAGGCACCCAGCCAAGAGTGCCTAGTTGTGTAGGCAATGCCTTGACAACTATGAGCACCAGGGTCTCCTCTGAAGCAAATGCCTGAAGAGAGTAGTAAAGTGCCACTTTTGAAAAAAAAAATTAAAGAAAAACCCGATATACAAGAACATGGAAATCTAAATTCTTGAAAATTGGCTAAAGTATCATCTTATTAACATGACAGTTGCAGCCTTGTATATCTAATTCCTACAAAGAGTACCTACAACATGATAAATTACCTATTCAACATCAAATTCAAGGTTAAATCACCAAAGCATTAGCAACACTCTAGGTGAGATACATCTGGGTTCAGGCAAGATACACCCCACAAAATGAGCCTAGACTATGAGGCACACCTTTTAAAACTAAATGATAAAACAGCTTGATACATTGAATTGAAGAAAATTAAATTAAGCATTTTTTTAGAAAAGGGTGACATTTTCAAATCAGATAATATAGTTGCCAAATTTTGTATTGAAATTTAAGACAGATTTTTTATTGGAAATGGTAACTTTCAATTAACAAGTATAGATATGACACCAGTCAAAATACCCAAAACAAGAGTGCTGAATTCAATTACGAAGCAGCCCAAAAGAGTTCCCTCCTAATTGTGCCTTGTTTAGCTAAACTCTCGGTCATCCCATTGGCTGATCGTTTACTCTACTTGAAGCTGATACCAACTTCCTTTGATAAATGAAATATCTCCCTCATGACCTGTCTGTGGGTTCACACCCCCAAACTTCTTGTATGCATCCACCGTATCACTAGCTTAGAATGACCTTCTACTTCTATCTGCTGAAGCCCCAACTGTTTGTCCAATTTCAGCCCATGGAGAAGGGCCATAATTTCTCTTCTCAGTGAGTCTCCCACCCCTATTGGACCTGAATAGAGGGCCACTACTCTTCCTTCTCCATCTCTAAAATAGCATACATCATGTGACTAGATGCCAGTATAACTCATTTATGCATTTGGATTTAGTTCTATCAAATCCACATAAATTTCTGTAAACTTTGGGGTGTTCTCTGTGGAAGAAAGTCATGGAAGCTCTCCCATTTCTGATGAGAGGTTTGCCTCCAAAGGTGGGTAATGATCTTAGGCTGAGTTTCTGGAAGGACATCTGGTGTAGAAACAGGCCTTTATCTGAGTTATTTCCCCAGCTGTTTCAAATTGGCTGGCTGTTATGAAGCTAGGGATGGCACAATCTCTTGGAGCCCTTCCTTACCCTTTCAAGACTGGGAAATTGATCAAGTCTCAGAGATGTTGGAGTTGTCGTCTAGGCAATCCCTAGATTTGTCAACAGAGGACACTTGGAACTGGAATTGCAGTGATGATGGGCTGTTCTCTGTCTGTTCTTTTGTTGGGATGCTAGAAGAAGGAAGTCAGTTGGTTGTTCCGGCAGATATAATTTGGAACTCAATAGCCCCTTCCAAAGTGAATGCCTTGGTCTGGCCAGCGGCTCTAGATAGGTGCCTTACCAGAAAGAGTCTGATAAGAAGAGGATTACAGATGCAGGACCCGCTGTGTGTGCTGTGTGGTCAAGTGGAAGAGGATAACCACCCGTTCATTCATTGCTCTGTAACCTCTGCTATTTGGGGACACTTCCTGTCTGCATTGGGCCTTAATTGGGTCATGCCGAGTTCTGTTATGGAGCTGTTATGGAACTGAGAGCTCCAAGGTTTGTCCAAGCTGGCTAAATGTGTTTGGAGGATCATTCCTGCTGCAGTGTTTAGCACAATCTGATCTGAAATAAATAGAAGGATCTTCCAAGATAAAGCTAAAGAATCAGACTGTTTAATCTCTTTTGCATTTGGCAAGCTGGTCTCTTGGGTTGACCTCGGTTCTGGGTTCTCAGATGAGATGTAGAAGTCTGCTAGATTTATGTTGTACTGGAGCTTGGTTCTGTTGATTTTGGCTCCTTTTGTGGCACTGCAGTTGTAATCTCTTGATCAATTTAATAAAATTACTTTGCCCTTTTTCAAAAAAAAAATCTCTAAACTTTGGTTCTTAATTGAGTTTGGTCTTCAACTGCACAACTATGCCTTTCTTAAATATAGTCCTCAAGAACAAACAGCTAAAACAATCATGCTTTAAAAAGACCCCTAATAAGGATTATTTTTTAGCAATTTCTAGTAAAAGGAAAGTATAAGGTTCATATCTTATTGTAACACAACTTTTTTACGGAGTGTAACCAATAAGGTGCACATTACCTGTACAGGTAGTGCTACACCAAGTAAAGTTTTGATATCAAGAATAATACTTGGGTTTCCATCCCACTGCAACTCCAGCTCCATAGTGATGCCATCACTTCTATCTTCAATAATTGAAATTCCTAAATATAGCAATAAAATATATGAGTTTCAAAAACAACTTCTTCAGAAATAAGCTATTTCACATAATAGAACAATAAAGAAAACTTATGCTTGTTGTTTTTCTTAACTGCAACACTCAGTGCCCCTGACAATGAACCAATTCCATATGAATTCCTGGGGAATGGAGGGGGATTCATTTAATAAAATTGAAGAACACAAATGATTTAACAAGGCTACACCATGCCAAGAAAAGAGAGAGAGAGAGAGGGGGGGGGAGGGAGAATCTAAATCAATTTCTTCCATAAATCTTCAAGCTCATGCTAGGTTATGTATGGCCCAAAATAGAATGAACAGTGGAGCAACTTGTTATATGCTATCCAAAGTTCTAGTTCAAGATCCCCTGATGTTACAAATAAAAGTCTGGCCAGTCATTGCACTATAGCAACTCAAAACAGCCTTATCTCAACTAAGTCAGTTCAAGCTGTTCCATTGTACTGGTTCCTATATCTATGGGGAATGTGAGATCTTTTTTCATATCTTAATATTTTTTTAAATACTGTTCTTCATTAAAAAATAAAAAAGCAATGCCTTGTCCGAACCATATTAGTTACCCACAAGAATCCAATTTTCCCATTCCACTATATCAAACACCAAATCTATTGTCAAATTGTAAGCCATCAAATCAATTTTCATCACCTCAATCCATTTCCTTTTTTTGCCTATCCCCTGGCTCTTCTGCATCCTTCAACTTGCACCTGATCACTTCTTACTAGTGCAATATGTGGTCATCTATGCAAATGCTCAACCCATCTTAGTCTACTTTCCCTCATTTTATTGTCTTAGACCACTCATAGATCTCTCATCATGAATATGCTCATTTCTAATCCTATCTTTTCTAATTTACCATTCATCAATCCCAATATTTGCAACTTTAAATGGATATTTCCAAGCTTGGGATTGTGCAACAATTGCAGAACTGCACAGCTCTCATCAAATTAGTCAGGACCAGTGTTATAAAAGGTATTAGAGGTGTATGCCAGGAGGCACACCTCCAAGCAAGATGCTGAGTAAATGCTTGGAGACACATAGTGGAGGCATAGAGATGCTTGAGGAGAGGCATATGCCTCCAGCATAGAGATATATGAGGTGTATGGATCTGTTGTACTATTTTTTGGGTAAAGCCTCTGTTGTACTTTATACAAGAGGCAAATGCCTCGTGCACTTAAATTTTAAGCTGGTTTTATGTTAAAAGGGAACCATTTTTTCATGTTGCCTATCATACATTAACATAACACAGAAGATGAAAACCCTCTAAATTTGTTCATTATTATATGATAATAAAAATATTATATATAGAAGTGGGGGCACCATAGTTTTAATTTCTTTTAATTCATTATATTCATTTGAATGTGAGATGTCACACTTGATTATGTTAATGTTGGGAAATTTATTGAGTTGTTAATTCTGAAACTTTGATTTGCAACTTTGCAAGTTATACTCTGATGGCTGATGATACTTATATAATAATGGATGATCATATAACGCATTGATATTTCAATTCTATATTCAACCTTTCTGTTCTCATAAGTTTTCCTATTTTTATTTATTTCATCATGCTTTTAATTACTTATTAATTAAAAATCCATGCTTGGGAGGCTTATGCTTCTTGCATTCTAGTTTCTGTCTCATGCCTTAAGATGGTAAAATGCATCATGTCATCCCTCCACATTTTAAAACATTGATCAAGATTTTTCTCAGACCATTTCCACACTATAAGGCATGGCCATTTGATGGGTCAAATAGCAACCAGCAGTAAGGAAACCATGGCCAACCTCAAATTGCACTTAGACAAGATACCCAAACTTTACCACGTTAACTATGGAATATGGAGCAGAACCATGACCTTAGCAGAAACCATATGCAGTAAATCAAACTAACCTGTAAATTGTGGAGCCACAGTACCAAGAGTCAACTTTTTAAATTTAAGAGAATCTAAGATGATTGGTCTATATTGCTCGAGAATTGGCTCAACAGAATTTCTTATCATCTCAGATGTTGCCTATGTCACCACCAAAAAAAATACAAATAACTACTACTCAGTATCAACCGAACCATAAATGCATGACCATCTGTTACAACAGAAGCTCAAGCACAGGCCAAGAAAACTACCTCGTTGACATACGGCCAGATCTTCTTAAGTTGAAGGTTAAGCCAAGTTAACTTTAAGAGGTAAAGAAAACAATATCAGTACACGAGAAGGAAAGACAGAGAACCCAAAACAAAATAACAACTAAAACTCAACTTCTGTCTCTGTGAGAAAACGACCCATGGAGGGTAATATTCGGCTGGTAGAATTTTCCTCGAATCTGCCACTGTCATTTTCGAGAAAGCCGCTATCGTTGTTGCCTGCAATAGACCAAACAAAAAAAAATAAAAACAAAAAAACAAAAATCAAATTAAAATGACAAGATTGTACGAAGGGATCAAAATTGTATACCAATTCAGAGCGGCGTTTGGATCGGGTGTTCTCGAAACGCACCAAAGTGACAATTAACAAAATACCGAGCGTAATTCCGAAAACCAGTCCAAAAAAGAACGACATTGTTCCACAAATGCGAGCCAAAACCGAAGTACCCAACCAAACCAGGAACTCCAATTCACTTAAAGAGCTTCTACCTTAGCTTCATCCAACCATATACGACTCTAAACAGGTCGAACGAAAGCAATTAAGATAGGCCAATAACAAGAGATGCTTCACTCGCACATTTTCTCGAACAGAGATCGCACACCATATAACAATAACGCAGCTTCTACCTTAGCTTCATCCAACCATATACGACTCTAAACAGCTCGAACGAAAGCAATTAAGATAGGCCAATAACAAGAGAAGCTTCACTCGCACATTTTTTCGAACAGAGATCGCACACCATATAACAATAACGCGATGTCTAAGGCTTGCTTTGCAATACCGGCAACTAACAAAAAACGGGCATTATAAATATGATGAATGCGAAGAATCCGAAGAGGGTAGATGCGCAGAGCTGGACAAATTAGCTGCTTGTTTCGTTCTTCTTCTTTCTGCTTCTGCTTTCCTTTTTGACATTTCTTATTCGGAAAGGAAGAAGAATGGAATTGGATTCTTTTCGGTGGTTTGGTTGTTGATGATCGTTGCAATCCAGCTTGGAACTTGGATACACCGTAATCAACCTCCGTCTTCCAGACACCTGCGCATGATTGTGATTGAAGCTTGCCGAGGACGCCATTGACGTCGCCAAATTCCTTCTTTGAACGTGGCGTTTCCTCGTACAAAATTCTTGACAAAATTCCATACTTTCGTCTTCCATATGCCGATTGCCAACGTGAAGTAGGCTCAGCGCTCAGGAATCAGGATTGGAAACGTGACTGATACCGTGAACGGCGTTGTCCGAAGATCCAAATTCCAAACCCGTTAGAATGTCAATGGACCGGGTCCGGATGTAACCCACAAATTATGGCTGGCGTGGAGCGTTAGGATTGGTCCATAGCCTTTATTACAGCTATCTAGAATGAGCGAATTTTTTTCGATTATCAAAAGTAATTCCAATTTCCAAGTTTACACGGCAGGTATAAAACTGTTGTGAAGGTTTTTGTCGATTCAAAAAACTGATGTGGACTTGAAAATTCGAAAGGTATAGCTTTATGAAATTTATTTGTGCAAGTGAAAAGAATAAAGTGGCAACAGGCTTGGATCGAATCCTGCCTACCACAGGGTTGGGGATGGGAATTGGGATACCCCCGTGGGCCGTGGGCCGTTGGTTGTCTAAATGTCTAGTCATATAGAGCAAAAGAATTTGCGGCAAAAGAAGTTAGTGGTGTAATTTGAGTGGGCTTAATTCGAACTTGATTTGGCCCAGCTCGAGATGCTGGGATAAGCTTGGGTTGGGCCTGGGTTTGATTAACTCGAGTTTAACCCTGAGTTGGGCAGCATTAGCATTCTTAATTGTATTAGTTTTTACTTTTTACTAAATTGTTTTAACTTATACTAAATTTTTATTTAATATTAATTTTTGTTATATTTAAATGAATTAAGGGATTTTAAATTAATAATAATTAAGTTTAAAACTAATCATTTTGTTAGTTTTTAATTTATCAAAAAATTTGTAGTATCAGTTTATTTCTTCAAATGAATTTTAAATGGATATCAAATTATAAGGTTTATTTTTGAAACTAAATTTTCTTACACTTTTGTTGTTTTATTAATGAACTTGTAGTAATTTGTATAATATCAGAATGATTCTTATTAATTCATATTATTTTTATCTATAATTTTTATTGCATTATTAACTTAATTAGTTAACTAATTTATTTTGTTAATAACTCATTAGTTAACTGATTAAATAAGCATTAGTAATTAAGTTATAATTAGTTAACTAATCATATAATTATCTTATTATTTAATTAATATTTTTAATTATATAATCATTTTCTAAGTTAACAAAATTTGTTAAGTTAATTAATATAATTAAGAAACTTAATTAACAATTTCCTATTTTAATTAATAAAAGTAAGTAATTGATTAAATAACCTTGTACAGGTTAGGCATATACAAAGTTAACTAATAACTAATTTATCAATCTTAGTTAATTAATTTAATTTAATTAAGGTAATGAAGTTAATTAATTAGGATAATGACTTTGAGTAAGTAAATGAAATAAATTAAGTCAAAACTTTTTTTAAGTTAACTAATTGAAGAATTTTGTAAATAATGACTTAATTATATTATCATTAATTTACCAAGTAGTTTGGTACTTTAAAAATAGTCAAAAAGCTCACTTGTATGGATGATTGGTTGACCTTCATTTGTATTTAAATAGGTAAATATTACTTGAGATGGAAATAATGTACTACGGATAGTTGTATTAAATAGTTGGGTTGACCCTTCTTAGTTTAGCTAAACCAAATATTATTAAGGCCATGTGTGAGAGTGTTTATGTTAAAAATAAGTGCTTAAAAACAAGTGCTTATTCGAATAAGCACTTATTTGCATTTGGCATCTAACTTTTTCAAAAAAAATCACTTATTTCATATTGGGCATTTGGTATTTTTTTCTCCAATAAATACTTAAATAAGCATTTGTGACTATTTTGTTCATAATTTTCTTTCAAATTTTACAAAAGCACTTTTATAAAAGTATTTTTATGAAAACACTTTTATAAAAGTACTTTTACGACAACATTTTTATGAAAGCACTCTTATAGAAGTACTTTTTATAAAAATACTTTTATAAAAACACTTTTATGAAAGCACTTTTATAAAATTCAACTAGGGATAGTTTTATAAGTGGCATTTTAAAATTCAATTAGATATAATTTTGGAAGAAAAAAAATGAATATTTAAGCCCTTATTTTTAAAATAAGCACTTATTTTGGGCTTATTTTCCAAACACTAATAAGTGCTTAATGATGTGGTCCCAGCCCAAATAAGCACTTATTTTGAATAAGTACTCCCAAACATGACCTAAGTACGACCCTATTTAAAAATTATAAATAATTTAGGAGTTCCTATAAATAAGGAGTGTAAATGGGTGTGACTCTGATGAAGATAAAAGATAAATAAAAATTATAGATAATTTAGGAGAGAATAATGAGTTTTTTTTTTTGAAATATAGTTAGAAGAGAGAATATAAAGGAATTAAAGTATCCATTGGTTGTTTATAAAAATGATATAGAATAAAAAATTAAAAATTAGAAAAGGAGAAAAAGCAAACATTACACTTCCTTTGTTTGTGTGTGTGTCGAGGTAATGCTTGGCCACGTAGTGCTAACTTGGACAATGTAAGCGGTAAAAGCAGTCCAACTAGTGAGATGTTACCAAACACATTGCACCTGCATTCAAAGCCACCTCACCTATTAATCGGTAAGTATATGTGAAGCATGGCTTTCTTACACAATCTTACCCTAGTCACTAGCATTCTAGCACTCTTCCTCACCTTGGCATGCCTTTGCTAGTCACTTATCTCAACTAACTCGACCGTAGGAGTGACCACTTCACGACTACACCATGAGACCTCTAATGTTATATGCCTATGAAGATATGATCTATAGCAAAAGACCAGTCAAAAGCTTTGGCAAAGCACTCTTATGGCCCTGTTCGCTTTTTCAGTAAGTTATTTATTCAGGTAAATGTAGTTATTTAGGTAAGTTTTTCCAGAAAATACTTGGAAACACTTACCTGAGTAAATGCATTTACCCATGTTCTTTTATTTCTCATGCAAATAAGGCAATAACCATTTTAGTCATAAAAATTCATTGTTAAAATGGGCATTTTTGTCCCATTCAAGTGTTGGCAACTTTCCCCTTAGGTGGGAAAGTTATTTACCCACTTAAGAGATGTGTATCGTTTACCCGAGTAAGTGATACCTAGGAAAATAAACTTTTCCTCATCCCCACATAAATCTGAAAACAGAACATGGGATCCTTGGTCAATGGGAACCAAAATCCCATTGACCAACTTCCCCCTCTCAAAATCCGAATAAAGACACCCCCTATAAGCTATTTAAATAGGCTAAAGTGGACTGCCTTAAAAATGGCTAACAAATTGCTAATTTGGGCTCTTGGATTTTTTCACTAGGGGTTTTCGTAGTCTGGTTTGGTGTAGTTTGGAAAATACTTCATACAAAATTAGTAAATTATGGTTTAGGAAATTCTTAGACCAATCCAAATCGTTTTGGCATGAAAACAAAACCAAACCAAACTGTTTTATTAAAGTTTGGTGCAGTTTCTAATATGGTTTGGGAACTTTGGGTCCTTCTATAATTTACTTGGATTGGTCTAGAACAAAAGAATTAATTAAATGAACATGAATATATAATATTAAATGTAAAACAAACAACATATGAAAACCATTATAGAACTCATTAATATATATATATATCAATTTTTTTTATTCTTCATATTTAATTTGACCCAAACAAGTATGCAAATCTATTAATAAACAAATAACATATGAAATACTGAACATTTGAACAAAGAACAATGCAACATAATTTATACATAAATTTGTTAATAAATTTGCAACAAAAAATATATCTGTTTATCATTGACAATTTAAATGTATACAATGTATAACAAAATCTAAAAACTTAAGAACAATGTAAAATAATCAATTAAATAAATGCAGTAAAAAAATCAAAACATGAATAAAAACATTCTCATGTAAATAAACATATAATTGAACAGTCTCCTACTAAAAACATGCATATATAAACATATAATTAAAATATAAATAAATCCTAAAATTTGTTTGTCCAAAAGTTCTGAAAATGGTTGATATTTTACTTGTCACCCAAGTTGAAATTCGAGTTCTTGTTCCTTTATTTCCACTTCCTCAGTCCTCATAGTTGAACACAAATCAGAGACAGAGAGAAAGGGGCTAGGGCTTTTATTTCCCAAAGAATATAAGAGAAGATGCGAATATGAGGAGAGAGAGAGAGAGATTAGAGCGGCCAAAATAGTGGAGCAGCTGGCGGCGACAATGGCGGGGCGGGTATGGTTTGGTTGAGCAGAGCTCGACAGGGGTTACTTGGGGCTTTTTGTTAAGGTTGGAAGAGAGAAGATGGGAGAGACGGGAGCGGCGACAATGGTGGGGGTGGAGTTTAAAGAAAAGATCAAAAGAAGAGGGGTTAAGGTTTCGTTTTCTAATGTTAGAACTTGGAGAGAGAGAGAGAATGGGCGATGACAATGGTGGAGTGGCCAACACTCGATGGTGACAAATCGGCAAATGTCAATGGTGGCCGGTGGAGCAGCGTCAACGATTGTATACAAAGTAGCTGAGTAGGCTAATGTTCAACTGAGAAGATAGAGATTAATTAGGTTATTAATTAAAAGTTAAAACTACAACTTAAAATAAAAGTAGAACTCTTTATTATCTTTTTATAAATAAATATTTTTATTAAATATTTATATATTTATAACTTAAAGCCTAAAAACATTATTATATTATATTATATTATATTATATTAATACGGTTTTGGTTTATAAAATTTAATAAACCAAATCGAAACTATAAACCATGTTTTTCAAAACTATGAAGCTGAACCAAACTGTTTTTACTACAGACCAAACCAAATCACAAATTGATTTAGTTTAGTTCAATTTTGCAATTTAAACCATACAATGAACACCCCTATTTTTTCACCAAACATAACTTATGAGCTGTCCGTGTGGAGCCACGGGAGAACTATCACGAAGGCACTGTGCTTCAATATGAACCCACCTCTGCTGCTGGCCTACCCGGTCGCACTATGTATAAAATTAAGCTTGGGTGATCAATCATGGGTGTGACACATCAATGTTTTGTGTACATGTCAACATGTGTTTGCAAAACGGGTGTCTTTTACTCGTGATTGGTTAATGGTTATATAGGCTTTTACACGCAACATGGCGAGTGGCAGTCTGGCAAATCCACAAATCAGCCCCCACAATGTCCCATAGTACATTTTCGTTGTGTATTGAAAATATCTCTCTATAATAATACTAGAAATGATGATATCGTCATCGAGAGATGTTTCCAATACACAGCGGAGATGTTGTGGAAGACAATCTTGTGGGAGGCTGATTTGAATTCAGTCTGGACCATTCTAATTGTTTTGGAAAAGTCGTTAAAAAAACTAAAAAAGTTGTACAGAAAAGCCATTTTTTTTGGCTGAAATGCAATTAATATGAACCAGCCTTCAATTCGTGCAAGTCCGTGCAATTCCATGCTTACATTGTTTGAACAATCTCTCCCAATCTTGCATCGATAATATCTTCCTATGAAATAAAATACATAAATACGGAGATAATCTCAAATAAAAGGCTGTAAATACTAAATAGTGTTCGAACAGTCCTTGCAGTGACCGAAGCCGATCCCAACCAATACAGACTTCTTGTATTTTTCACCATACATTTCTT